TCTGCATTTTAAGTTCATCACCTCTTTGTCAGGAAATGAATGGTATGTTTCATCTTCACTCTTTTGGGCTTTTGATTTATCATTGCTTTGCTCAGAGTTCTAAAGTCTTTTAAAGTTGATTTTCTTTATAACGTTATTATTGTATAAATAGTTTTATTTCCAAACACTTCGTTATGTATCAGTTCATAAAGGACTTCCTAGTTTCCTGTGAATTGTCATTTCATCATTTCTAATAGTAGAGTAATATTCCATTACATTCATATACCATAGTTTGTTTAGCCTAGGGATGGGGAACCTGCAGCCTCAAGGCCACATGTGGCCCTCTAGGTCCTCAAACATGGCCCTTTAAAGGGCCTCAAGGCCACAGCTTCCCCACCCCTGGTTTAGCCATTCCCAAATATGAGGATATGTCCTTAGTTTCCAGATTGGGGCTCCCATGAAAAAAGTATGCATATGTATGTATGTGTATGTACATATGCATGTACATAAATATGTATATATACATATACATGTGTATTACATACATACATGCGTGTATCTGTGTACACATAGACACACACACTTTTGTACATATAGATCCCTTTGCTCTTTCTTGAATTTTTTAGGATAATAAGCCTAAGTGGTAGAGTTGTAACAAAGGTTAGTTTGGTAACTTTCTGGACATAGTTCCAAATTGCATTCCAGAATGACTGGAATAGTTCACAACTCCACCAACAGTGTATCAGTGTACCTATTTTCTCACATTCTTTCCAACATTTGTCACTTTCTACTTTTGTCATCTTTGCCAGTCTGATAGGTATGAGGTAGGGCCTCAAAGTAACTTTAATTTGCATTTCTCTAATTATTTGTGATTCAGAGCATTTTTGTATAATTGTTGATTGCTCTCTTCTTTTGAAAACTTCCTGTTCATATTCTTCAATCATTTATCTGTTGGGGAATGGCTTAATCATATAAATTTTAATCAGTTCCTTATGTATCTTGTATCTGACCTTTGTCAGAGAAAATTGCTGCAAGGACTTTTCCTATTACCTATTTCCCTTATAACTCTTACATTAGATTTGCTTGTGCAAAAACTCAATTTCATATAATCAATATTGCCCATTTTTTCTTGTGTGATATATATTGCATGTTTAGTCATGAATTCTTCAACTGTTCAAATATCTAAAAGGTACTTTCCTCCTTGCTCCTTTAATTTATGATATGACTTTTTATAGCTATATCATATATCTATTTGGAGCTTATGTTAGTATATATTGCAAGGTGTTAGTCTAAACCTAATTTCTGCCAGTTTGGTGTCCTTTTTCCATTAGTTTTTGTCAAGCACCATGCTGCTATTTTTGCCTCTGTATATTGTGTACCTTTGATCAGCCCCTCTTTTTTAACCAGTATCAAATTGTAAAACATTTAATGTTAGCATATGAAAATTAAAATGGAAAGAACATATAAAGTCAAATAGCTTACAATGGTATTCAGTAATCCAGTATTTGATAAAGTGGAAAACACAAATCACCTAGGAAAAAACTCCTTATTTGATAAAAAAAAAATTGCTGAAAAAATTGGAAAGCAGTCTGCAGAAATTAGGCTTTGACAACACTTTATCCCATATTTTACAATACATTCTAAATGGATATGGGACCTTAATATTAAAGATCCTCCTATAAAACAATTAGAAGAGTGACAGAACATATACCTCTGACAGCTATGGGTAGGACATATATTCTTAACCAAATAACCGATAGAGGAAATTACAAAAGATAAAATAGATAACTTTGATTACGTGAAACTAAAAAGCTTCTTCACAGACAAAATTAATGTACCTAAGAAGGGAAGTGGTCTAATGGGGAAATAAAAAATCTTGGTATCAAATTTCTCTGACAAAGGCTTAGTAACCAAGATATATAAACAATGAATAAGTACACACATTAGCCATTCACCAACAGATGAATGGTCAAAGGATATGAACAGTTCTGAAAAGAATTGCAGAGTATTCACAACCATGTGAAAGAATGCCCCAAACCACTAATAATAAGAGAAAATGCAAATCAAAACAACCCTGAGATTTCATCTCCTACTCTGCAAATTGCCAAAGATGACAAAAACTGGTAATAGTCAATGTTGGAAGAGTTGTAGGCACACTAACTGTTGGTGGAACTGTGAAATGGTACAACAATTTTGGAATGGAATTTGAAATTATGCAAATAAAAGGACTAAAGTGCCTATACCCTTTGATCCAGAAGCAAAGTTCTTATATACACCAAAATATTTATAGTAGCACTTTTTGTGATAGCAAAAGTAGATACCCGTCAACTGGGGAATGGATAAACAAATTGTGATACATGAGTATAATGGAACATTACTGTGCTATAAGAAATTATGTATCTGATGAATACAGAGAAGCATGGAAAGAGCTACATGAACTGATGTAGAATGAAGTAAACAGGGCCAAGAAAATTATACATACATACATATACATATGTATATGTATGTATGTATATATGTATGAAATGCCTTTAACAATATAAATGGAAACAATCGTGCACCAAAAAGTGAATGTAACAAAATTATAAAGATCAAGCAGGATTCCACTGAAGAGACATCAGTTAACATCTCCATCCCACCCCTTCACAGAGGTGGGAGGTCTCCACATTGCACATTTTCAGATTTTCCATGTATCAATCAGTTGTCCTGATTTTTTTCTTCTTTAAAAATATTATTTTTATTATATGGGATGGTTCTCTGGGTAGTGGGAAGGGATGAGCTACTGGGGATAACCAAGATGATATTAATAAATAGAAGTCATCAATAAAAACTTATTTAAAAAAAAACACAAATAGCTCAATGTTCTAACCCTAGGTTTCTTAACCTTTTTTGTGTCTTGAATCCCTTTGGAAGTCTGATGAAGTATAAGAGTGAGCTGGATTGCATTTGGAAAATTGCAAAACTTCTTTAATGACCAAAACCTCCCTTTTTAATATCAACATTCTATTAGTGTTTTTGAATGGTAGGGAGATTGAGAATACAACAGTCTCTATAAAATTTTAAATGAACACCACAAAGAAGGCAGTGTAGAGGTGTGTGGTGGGTGTGAGTAGGCTGAAACAAAACTAACGAAGAACTTCAGTGACGAGGAGTACAAGAAGGCATCAAGGAATTGTAACGATACGAAGAAAAGATGCGATAGTCACGTTACCAGAGTGAGTCATGAGAGGTGGATAGCTGGTGCTCCACTGGTACCCTCACAAAGAGGGAGATGAAGAGGAAGGAGAAGGGAATAAACATTTCATAGCACTTACAACAACCCTGTGAGGTAGGTGCTACTATTCTTTTCCAAAAGTGAGGAAGTCCCCCTTCCTTGTCATGCTAGGTGGACCCCTTTAGTGAACACGTGGAAGGCTACAGATAAGGGGTGCACAGCATGGCCCAGGCATGAATGGATTGCAGTCTTCCTTAGAGAGAACTTTCAAATCAGTGCAATCACATATCCATTTGATAGTTTGAGGATCATAGATCTTTAGATCTATGGAAGAGAGGCCATCCAGAATCACAAACCTTGAACAATGGCAGGCCACATAGAAATAAAGAGTTGGGGAGACTTGGTACTGCCTGAAAGTAGTACCTGACCTACCTGAAAGTAGAGAGGAAAATGGGACAGAACTTTTGTCACATGAAGGGGTGTCAAGGAGGCACCTGCCACATGGAAAAGCCTACACCCTGAGTGCAGAAGCATCTTTGGTTGCCTTCTGGTTTGTAGTGGAAGAGTGGACCGGGGCATGAAGTCTGAGGTCCAGGGTAGGATTCCCTATTGCTTCCCATGAAATAAATCATCCACTGAGATAATATTAGATTTCCATTTTTGTGAGTGTTTTTCAGATGTTGATATTGGATTCTTTGTCCTGACCAGAAAAAGGGAGAACAAGAGGATGCTGGAAATGCAGCATTAAAGTTTAAGATGCAATATTCTTTTTTTTAAATAGTCCAGGCTTATACCAAGTTCCCTAGATTCAACCCTCATTCCTTCCAAGAGGAGGGACTTCCAACATTGGCAGTCTGACAAAGGGGCTGTCAACTTGTGGTGGTCTCAGTGAAGACGTCCCAGCTGTTTGTCCCTGTGTGAATCACCCAGCCAGGTGGTTCATGTCACTAAACACTGCACCTCAGTGCAAACCCTTCTGTAGCATTATCAGCATCCCTTCTGGCTAACCTGGATTCTGCATTGCTTTCTGGCTAACTCTGATTCAGAATGAATATTTGGCAGTTGCCGCTGGACTCAGCAATCTGTTGTCTGCCAAATAATTCCCACTCCCACACTTGTACCCTTAGACTTACAGCATACATACTGTTTCTCTCCTCCTGTATTGGCAAATTTTTAGTTTGTATGCATTTCTGCTAAAATTAAAAGGGGGGGTCAGTGTGGGTTTCCAGCACGGGCCCAAGAGATGGACTCTGTGCTGTCTATTGCAAATACTAAAAGCCTTGTTGTCCCTCGAGATGGCTGCATTTACAGCTCCCTCCAAGAGGGAGTGTGTGTGTTCCCATTTTGCCCTGTATATAGACTGATTAGGAAAACATAAAAATTTTTTAAAACTAGCATACAGGAAAATATTCCAAGGGATCAGATGAACAATACGTATAATTTCCATCTTCTGCCCTTTAAATTTTAGAGAAAGGCAGGTAATTTATTATATTTAGCATGATTTGAAGGCTTAGGTTGGAGTATGTGTGCATGTTAACTAAATCTGTACTCTAAAATAATTGTCAGGCCTTTTAAAGTTATTGATCTATTTAACAAATGATCTCAGTGCTTGTCCTTTTCACTTAATGAATATGTAGTATGACGATTCATCTGCAGCTATTTCTCCTGGCCATTAAAAAATTCTAAATAGATTACAAATGCTAATAGTCATTCTTCATTAGGTAATATCCTCCAGATGGGGAAAAAGTACTCAATACATCTGTTGCTTAATTTGTTTTGTTTTGTTTTCTTTTCTTTTCCCATTCAGGATCTCCTATGATCCCACAAGGTATCCAAAATACATGCCCGAAGCGTACTGTCTGTGCAAGGGCTGTCTGACGGGACTATATGGAGAGGAAAACTTTAATTTCCGCAGTACCCCCGTATATATGCCCACAGTCATTCTGCGCCGCACCTCAGCCTGTGCTGGGGGACGCTATGTTTACACAGAAGATTATGTGACCATTCCAGTTGGGTGCACTTGTGTTCCAGAACAAGAGAAGGAGTCAGAGAGCCTGAACTCCAGCATTGACAAGCAAGGAATGAAGCTGTTGATGAACCCGAATGACAAACCCACAACAAAATGAATTTGAGGAGAACTCATCAACTTCCTTCTTGACTTTTTTGTCCCTGCACAGAATCAGGAAATTAATAGCAAATGAAAATCCTGTTCCTTCTAAAAGGCTTCCATTGCATGGTGAAACTGGAAGGATTTCATCAGGCCATGAGGAGATGAAGTTGAGCCATGAGACAGCAAACCGAACTGGGAAGGGTCTTCTTTTAATATAGACTAGTCTACAGTTAATGTCAGTGTTTTGACTATTCTCTTTTCTGGACAAAAGTTAGTGCTGTTTTGGTATCTTGGTTTGAAATGCATTAGATGTTGGGATGAACATATGAGTCATATTCATCTGCTATTTTCAGCTGCAAAGTCTGGCATAGAAGTGTGTGATGGGCATGTCCCTAGGATTTAATTTCTCACAATACTTGGGCCCATGAGAGCACTGCTCTTGGAAAGAAATTCTCTGAACTACATTTCCCAGAAGGTTATCCATCTGACCACAGAATATGGTGACAACACCAATCCAAGAGCTCTCTTTATTGGGGCATCCTTTTCAAAGAGGAAGGTTAAAAAAACTGCCATAAATTTGGGGCAATGATTGCAGTGGGAAAAATGGTAAAATGTTAAGCTTCATAGTGTCATAACACAGAGTGAAGAGACCCCTGGGAGCCCAGCAAGTTCAGGTTGGTGATTCCTCTGAGCAGGGAGCAGAAACACAAATTGGAGATGGCCTAGCCACTAGCATAAAGGCTGCCAGAGCTGGGAAGGAACAGGGATGAAAAAGGTTCCATACAGTATATAGATGCTGCTGGAGCCAAGCTGAAGCCAGGCCCACCTAGCTGCCTCCCAAAGAAGTAAGCTTATCTTCTTCCTGGCCACTGAGGCCATACTGAAAGGAGACAAAGACCCATTGACAGTTTCCTCACCTTGAGGGTCAGTTTTCCCAGTAGGTATTTCAATAAGCTTTTTCCAGGTTTCTATTCCATCTTCTCATCTTGAAAGATGTGTGAGATTTTGTTCTGTGTATGGGTATAGGGAATATTTTTTTTACTTTATTTCCTTCCTTGTAATTTACATTGTTTCATGTCCTCATTAAATGCTTTTGCCATTTGATTTATGTGTGTTTTGTATGGTCTGGCAATGGAAACAAAAGTGTTTCGGATATGTGCTCAGACCATGAGCCACAAAATATTAACAGTTGCATCTTTTATGCAAAACAGATGACCTAAAACAACTATACTAAACCAGGTGGGTGGTAAGGCGTACTACAACTGCATTTTGATTTGATGTTGGAAAGTTGGTTAGTCTCAGAATTGTACTTTACAGTGAGTCCTGAAGAGAGTAACAGTAGAGCTAACGATGAAGAGGGTAGTTCCCATAGTGAGTCTTCTTGGGGACTTATTCATGTCAGTGCTTATCAGCTGAATAGTGATATTATTCCATTCTTTATTATGGTTCAATACAACTATCAAAGTGGCTACTGTGTAGCTTACAATTTAATATGTTCTACAATCATGTAGAATGAAGGGCAGTTTCCTTATCTCTTTGTTGTTGTAGTTACAGCAGCAAAAATTAGCCTTATTCCATTGGATATTTGGTATGCCAGACATAGATATGTTTTTTTGCATATACCACTAATTTTTAATTACTTATGGTGATGAACAACTTTCAAAGAATCACAGGATCTCAGGAATTGGAATTAAAGTCATAGGAATATACCTAACTCTGAGAATAAAACTCAGGGATTGAGGCATCAAAATAATTGAAATTTACAGATTCATTCAACAAACGATTGCTAAATATCTACATAGCAATACAGTTATCCCTTCCATATTGCCAGGGTTAGGGGATCTGAAAAATTCTCTTAAAATGTTTTGGTCCTCTCTTCGTGCCAGAGAAGTCCGAATTGTTATGGCATTAAAAGATAAAATATGTTGATATTACATAATAATATACATATATTTTATCCATTTCTGAGTTTCTAAACTTAGTTTCTGTGTCATCTGCTAGTCTTTGTGTGTAGTCTGTGGCTTCCTCAAAATTTCCCCAAAATTTTCATTTAATTTCTTTTTTCTTTTTTTTTGGGGGGGGGAGGCATTTGGGTTAAGTGACTTGCCTAGGGTCACACAGCTAGTGTCAAGTGTCTGAAGCTGGATTTGAACTCCTGACTCCAAGGTCGGAGTTCTATCCACTGTGCCACGTAGCCAACCTCTCCCATTTAATTTCTTATACTGTCCTGGAATATATTGAAACCATGATGGGGAAAGTTATGATGTGGAAGGGATAATTGTACACTGTTAGGCACAGGAGAGATACAAGGATAAAGAAAATATAATCCCTGTTTTCTTTAAATATCTTCAAGCACTGTCAGACAAGGGCTGTCACACTGTCAGACAATTTAGTCAATGCCGCAGTTTCAACCTTCCCAAACCAACATTCTACCAGAATTCCTGGCAAATCACAGAATAGTTTGGAATATTGAGTTTGTCTGCCTCAGTCCATTTTCTGGTGAAGATGTTCACAAGTAGTTAAATGATGGAAAAACACAAGTCAGGGGCTTAGCTTAAACTAGAAATTGGATGAAAAGTCCTGGAATAATGAAAGTTAGCTATATACATATATGTATAAAATAAAGTTGGGTTTATACATTTATATGATTCAGGCAACCCTTATGCATCTAAAAAGTAAATGTTTGTATGTAATAAATGTCTAGCCACCAAGCAGAGCTTGAGAACACATTCAGGTAGCCATTGTCATGTTACTGTAGTAGCATTGTTATGATAACCACCATTCGTGCTGTCAAAGTCAGCCTGCTAAGCTGATGATACAAAGAGGTAACATCTTTACTTTCATCCTCTCCCCTAGGCAGAACTGTGTTCAGGACAGCCTGCCACCCAAATCTTTCACATTTAAGTGGCAACAACTTTTACTAACAGAGTGAGCAGTTTTCTGAGGTCACAATTATCTAGGAGTATCTTATACTGGTCTTGGATACTTCTGATTGGCATATAGAATATAATACCTTCTCTCATCCTGCCTTTGTGTGTGCAGGCCTATATGGCTTCACTCAGTATAGGTTTGCTGACTAAAATATCTTTTGTGTCTGAAAGAGGAAATTCTCCCCTCTCTTTATTTCTATATGCACTTAAATGACCTGTTGTTGACCCACCAAACAACCTGGTTTTTGGTTGGCAAATTATCTTTATCAAAGGTTAAGACAGAAAGGAAGCTTTTAGGAAAAAAATAAAAATTCCAAAACCCATTATTTTTTATAAAAAATTATTTTTAGTTTTCAACATTCACTTCCATTAAAATTTCGAGTTTTAATTTTTTCTCCCTCCCAACCCTCTCCCCTCCTCAAGATGGCATGTAATCTGATAGAGGCTCTACATATATATTTATGTTAACCATATTTTCACATTAGTCATGTTGTGAAGAAGAGTTAGAACCAATGGGAGGAGCCATAAGAAAGAAGAAACAAAACAACAACAACAAAAAAAAAAAAAAAAGAGAGAGAAAATAGTACGCTGGAATCTGCATTCAGACTCCATAGTTCTTTCTCTGGATGTGGACAGCATTTTCCATCATGAGTCTTTTGGAGTTGTGTTAGATCATTGCATTGCTGAGAAGAACTGAGTCTGTCAAGTTAGTCATTACACAATGTTGCTGTTACTGTGTACAATGTTCTCCTTGTTCTGCTCACTTCATTCAGCGTTAGTTTTTTTTTTTGTTTTTTTTTTTTAGGCAATTGGGGTTAAGTGACTTGCCCAGGGTCACACAGCTAGTAAGTGTCAAGTATTTGGTCTGAGGCCAGATTTGAACTCAGGTCATCTTGACTTGAGGGCCGTTGCTTTATCTACTGCACCACCTAGCTGCCCCAGCATTAGTTCATGTAAGTCTTTCCAGGTTTTTCTGAAGTCCACCGGCTCATAGCACAATAGCATTCCATTACATTAATATGCCACAACTTTTTCAGCCATTCCCCAACTGATGGGCATCCCCTCAATTTCCAATTCTTGGCCACCACAAAAAACTGCTATAAATATTTTTGTACATGCGGGCCCTTTTCCCATTTTTATGATCTCTTTGGGATACAAACCTAGAAGTGGTATTTCTGAGTCAAAGGGTATGCACAGTTTTATAGCCCTTTGGGCATAGTTCCAAATTGATCTTCAGAATGGTTGGATAAGCTCAAAACTCCACCAACAATGCATTAATGTTCCGTTTTTCCCACATCTTCTTCAACGTTTATCATTTTCCTGTTTTGTCATGTTAGTCAATCTGATAGGTGTCATGTGGTACCTCAGAGTTGTTTTGATTTGCATTTCTCTAATCAATAGTGAATTAGAGCATTTTTTCATGGGATTATAGATAGCTTTAATTTCTTCATCTGAAAACTGCCTGTTCATATCCTTTGATCATTTATCAATTGGGGAATGACTTGTATTCTTATAAATTTGACTGTGTTCTCTATATATTTTAGAAATGAGGCCTTTATCAGAGACACTGGCTGTAAAAATTGTTTCTCAGCTTTCTGCTTCCTTTCCCATCTTGGTTTCATTGGATTTGTGCAAAACCTTTTCAATTTAATGTAATCAAAATCATCCATTTTGCATTTCATAATGTCTTCTATCTCTGGTTTATTCATAAATGCCTCCCTCCTCCATAAATCTGACAAGTAAACTATTCATTGCTTTCCGAGTTTGCTTATAGTATCAGCCTTTATATCTAAATCATGTACCCATTTTGACTTTATTTTGGTATATGGTGTAAAATGATGGTCTATGCCTAGTTTCTGCCATATTGTTTTCCCAGAAGTTTTTGTTAAATAGTTCTTATCCCAGAAGCTGGAGTCTTTGGATTTATCAAACAGTAGATTACTATAGTCATTGACTACTGTGCCTTGTTTACCTATTTCACTGATCCACCACTCTTATTTTTTAGCCAGTACCAAGTAGATCTGATGATTGCTGCTTTATAATACAATTGAAGATCTTGTACAGTGAGATCACCTTCCCTTGTATTTCTTTTCATTAATTCCCTTGATATTCTGGACCTTTTGTTCTTCGAGATGAATTTTGCAAAATCCAATATTTTTTAAACAGCTTGGAAGGGTCAATGTAGACAGTATAAGAAGGAAGTGACAGCAAATTGGGAAATTTGAATTCTCATTGAAGAGAGAAAGGATGAGAAGGGATATAATCTTATCCTCTAGACTCACACTAAGTCAGAAATGCAGGTTCAATTAAGTCCCTAGTTCATGCTTAAGATATCTCAGTTTTCCTTTGTTAGGAATATCATTCTGCCCACTGCCATGTTGCCTCATCTGCAGTACTTCTGTTGACTGTCCAGAAGCAGTCAGTATAGCTTCTCCTAACTCACATTTGTGAAGGCTTTCTCACATCCTCCTTTCCAGGAATCCATTTCACTTCAAGGTCACTGACCAGCAGCACCCTCCCCCAAAGGCTGATATCCAATGCCCCTGTTTTGTCAAGATAGTAACAGAAGAAATATTATAATAGTAGGTGTTGACTACAAAATATCAGTAGAAAAGAACTAAAAGGTAAATTTTCTCTTTGGGTTATTATAAGCAACTATATGAAGAAAGGTTAGGTAAATGGAATATGAGGGACTTTACCAATTCACATTAAAAAAAGAAACCCAGAATTGGTTTAATTTTGAGGGATTGAGAAATTAGCAGAAAAGTGGGAGGCAAAGAAGCCAAATGAAGATTTCCCATAATGGATGAAATGGGCAATAAAGCCTCAGGCTACATTTTTCTCTTGAGAATCATCTGATGTACATAATTATAAAGGTTAAAAATCTTATTTCATCAATGTTTTAATAATAATAAATGAAGGATGTGTTGGCTGTGGTAATGCTCATTTGTTCTGGATTTATCTTGCCAAATTTTTTCATTGGAGAGAAAAATGAATAATCTTGTAGTAAAGGTCTCAACTTCCCTTTTGTTGTGAAATGATTTGGCCCCATCCCCCAGGATACGTATATACTAAGGCTTAACTGACTTGGAGACCTGACGTCTTCTCCATTCCAGTAGTTTTTATGCTGTGGTACTGTTAGAGTT